GTACCACCCATCCTTTCTGGAGGTCTTTATTATTAATGGCTGCCCTCCTCCTCTTCCCTCTCTCTTTCCCTTTACTTGTCCCCTTCCTCTCTATCATCTTTCCCTCCTCTAATCCTTCTCTTTCTTATTAGCCTCCTCCTCCTTCTTCCTCTTCCCCCTTCCTTCCTTCCTTTTTCTTTCTCCTTCTCTTCCTTCCCTCCTGCTCCTTCTTCTCTTTCTCCTTCTCCTCTTCTTCCTTCTCTTTTTTCCAACCTCATTCCCTTCTTCTCCTATCTTCTCCTCTTTCTGCTATCTTCCCCTTCTCCTCCTCCTCGATCTCTCCTCCTCCTTCTCTTTTCCTCCTTCTCTCCTTTTCCTCCCCCCTTACTCCTCTCCTCTTCCTTCTACTTTTTCTCTTTAGTCTCTTCCTCCTCCTCCCCTTCTCTTCTCGTCCTGCCCCTCCTCTTCCTCTCTAACTAATCTGCACTTTCCCAAGCTTTGAGCCTACTTTCCAAGAAGCAACATTGACCTTTGATTATTTGAAACTGAAATGATAGCAGATACAAAACCCACAAAATCAGATGACGTTAAGTCACAGTTTCCAACGGTCATCCAAAGGGCTATATAAAGAAGACAGCCCTGTATAGAGGACAAGACCTCCAATCTTCTCTCTACTGCCATTGCAACACCTACCTTAGAGCCAAAATGGGAGATGCTTGGAGAATCTGTTCCCTTTTGATTGCTCTCCTCTCCACCTCCTTGGCCGGTGCTGGTAAGTAGCTTGGAAGGCTGTTCTCCAAGGGGTTTCCATCTTGCTAGAAGGAGGCAGGAAAAAAATTGAAAGCAGTCGGAAAAGGGTAAAAGTGTCCTTAGAGGTCATCTGGTCCAACCTCTGCTCAATGCAGGAATTCCTAGACATGCCATGGTTGTCCCAAAGGTGCTTTTCCAAAAGGCAACAGGACTTTTTAAATTATTTTCCTTGCAGTAAAAAAACAAAAACCTAAGACCACACCTGGAATACTGGTGCCAAAAATACAGCTGCCAAAAAAGCCAACACAGTTCTAGGCTGCATAAACAGAGGGATGGAATCAAGATCACATGAAGGGTTAATACCACTTTATAATGCCTTGGGAAGGCCACACTTGGAATACAGCATTCAGTTTTAGTCACCACGATGTAGAAAGTATGTGGAGACTCTAGAAAGAGTGCAGAGAACAGCAACAAAGAGGATGAGGGGACTGGAGGCTAAAATGTATGAAGAA